GTAGCCAGCTGCAGTTTTGCGTCCCTGGAGCCTTTTTATTTTTCGTATTTTTATGTTCTATTTCTTTTATCTTTTTATCACGGCCTCTAGTTTTATTTTAATTTCTTTTTAATTAGTAAATAAACTTCTTTTATTTTCATTTCATTTTTATTATTTACACATTTTTTAACTAATATAAAGAGCCTGTTTATGCTAGACTCTCTCTTGGGTTGTTGGCTCGCATTCAGTGCTGCTCACGGAGCGCCCGGTCTCACTGGACGTCTCCTGTTTTGTTTGTTTCTTCGATTTCCTACAAGAGAGAAAGATAAGTTATTCATGTTTTGTAAGAGGCCAGGTAGGATGTGTCATATGCATTGTAACTTTTGTGAATATACAGACTGAGGGGATCTCAGGTTTTCCCTTTTATGCTTTGGTTTTGTTTTATCCTTGGTTTGTTTATTTTACTTTTTTATCTGGTTTTAAAAGGAGAATGGACACAGTTGATAATGAAGTTAATGTAATAGTAAGTCTTACTTACGGGGTTAAGGGCTTCAGGGTTGTGACGAGCAGGTCATGCTGCAGTACACGCCAGCTACCACCCTTTTGACAGCAGCTCCCCTGTTCGCAAGTTGCACTCTGCAAGACCCGCGTTGTAGTTTTGAAAGTGTCTCAAAGGGGTAAACACTACAGGTGTCTTGTGATCGGAGGCGAGCTCCACCCACTTCCGTGTAATGGGAATGGTCGCGGTTGACGGCTAGCCGTTTTACAATACTTGTTATTTTTTCGACCGGTACAGAGTATTTTGAAATATAATATCCTAGATGGCTTTTGATATCTTATGGCAACTCACCGCCTACTCGATTCCTGTCGCGCGAGAGGTGTCGCATTTGCTGTAACTACTGGAAAAGATGGCAATATAGTATCCCTGTTCTAGCACCCAGCATAACCACTGGTGGCTGAGAATGGGAGTTAGATATAAAGCCGTATTGTAAAAAAAAAAAAAAAAAAAAAAAAAAAAAAAAAAAAAAAAAAAAAAAAATGCGATTACACACTGCAAAGAACTTTAATCGCATCATTTTGGTATGAAAATAAATACAACTAAGTAATTGAGTATTGAGGTTTCTGTGAAAAGCGATATATAATCAAATGTAAACAGTGTTCATCACCGTCATCATTATAATTCTACCGTTTCTTCTTAATAACATTTACTTTCTTCGTTGTAGAATTAATATGCATGATAATGCCAATTTGAAATGTGTTTTAGCTTGAATATATCTAATCACTATGTATTTATGAGATTCGGACAGGTTTTAAATGAATGTTGAGGTTGGCATATATGTTACCAATGACTAGATCAGGTGATGTGGCTAATCTGTTATTTATGAGGGTAGGAAACTTCGGGCCAAGTATTGTCAATCGCCCTTTGGTTATTAGCTGTGCTAGCGTATTCCCATTCTGGTTGTTGCCGTTTCCTAATATTTGGTGTTGGGCATTCAGGTCTCCTATTATGTACACTGGCTTGTTAAACCCTAATAGTCTTCTAATGTCTCCATATGGGACATATGGCCGTCTTGGTAGTAGATAGCAAGTGGCCAGTACTATAGGTCCAAGGGTGGTGTCAATTGCGTCAGAGATTTCGTCATCAAAGTCATCGATGATCTTGTGCCTAATGTTGTTTCTGATGGCTATAGCGACCCCATCGTTTAGTTCGTTTCTTTTGTTACTTCGGTAAACTGTATACATGAATATTTTAATATTTTCCGGAGATTTTCTGTCATGACTATTACGTAATATTACATCTGGGTCTTCTTCTCTGTACATGTTTGTTAATTCATTCCTACTTTTGTAGGTCCAGGAGAATATGCTGTATTACTGCAATTTTATTCATTGTTATTTAGTTCCTTCTGTGCCTTGTTCTCGGTATGAGTTGCTCTGCACTCATTTCTTATAGAGCTAGGCTTTGTGGTCTTAATTATCATGTTGGCCTTAATGTCAATAAAGCCCTCTTACAGGTGTTTTTCTATTCTCTGCTCCATCTCTGGGGTGTCATATGCTGGGTTAGAGTATCTGAATTTAATGGCCCCGTGTCTAATTCCCCTTCCAAGTTGCCTCTTGTCATGGTATTTATATTTGGGGTCCTTGGCAAAAAGTTCTAAGCCTAAAATTTTTGGGTCAGCTAGGATTCCCCACTGTAGGCTTTTATATGGTTGGCGTGCTTTAGAGGTGGTTGGCTTTGGTTGAAGATTGGTATTTTCCTTGTCAGTTTGCAAGCTTTCTTGGGCTCGTTGTCCTTTATCGGTGATAGTGGGCTGTGATCCTTTGGTTGTGTTTAGGGTTTCTATAGCTGCAGCTTGGGGCTCTGTTTGAAGGGGAGTATCAGATGGTTCCATTTCGTTCTACTCCATGTCAGCGATAGCAGTGTCAAGTGCTTGCTTGGCAGCATCACTTGCAGTAGATTCTGCTGAAGTTGAAGTGCCCCTTACTGGCCTGTTAATCTGTTGTAGATTGTTTGATTTAGAGGTGTTCTGTGGATGGGGATTTTGTGGGGGGTAAATCTGTATAATGCGGTCGAGTCTACATCATGAGGGAGGTCAGCTGGTTCGAGGTCATTCTCGATGAACCCCTTCCTTACTTCTGCATATGAGCATGGTTTACTTGAATTCACAAGGTGTGCATGAATCAGTATTACCATCACCTTGAAGGAAGTTTTATCTGGTAGCTGGAGGAGTGGTTGTTTGGCTGATACTTCTTTTACTGCTACATCTGATGCTTACAAAATGAGCAAAGTAACACTGCTGGGTAGTCTGCGGCTGAGTGTGCTGATTGACCGACGGCTGCATTCTTATTGTTGTGGACGTGAGGTACCCCCACTAAGCAAGAAGTCAGACTAGGCGAGTCCCCCCCTTTCTAGCCAGCACCAGCACCATCTGTGGGCACCGGCGGCAGCCAGCTGCAGTTCTGCATCCCTAGAGTTTTTTTTTTGTTTTTGTATTTTTATGTTCTATTTATTTTAGTTTATTTTAACGGCCTCTAGTTTTATTTTAATTTATTTTAATGAAGTAAAGTAAATTTTTAAAACATTTTCTAAGATTATAAGAGCCTATATAAAGAGTCTTCTGGGCGGCAAACTCTGGCACACACTCGTGTATGAGACTTGGATGACTCAGACCACTTTTTCAAATGCATTAGTAACAGAGTAAAAGTCGCGTGCCACTTGAGCTACCCTGGTGTCCGGGTCCTCTCGTCTCGCTCGGCACTGTTGTTCCTGAGTTAAATAACGTAAATTACATAGAGTAAATATCTGAGTTTTTCGGAAGCAGCCATTTTGCCTGCACCTTCAGTGCTTTGATCTTGCAGATCACACGAAACTACAGTGGTAGTAGTCAGCACCCCACCTCAGAGCCACAGCTCTCATACACCAGGGTAGCCCTTACGGGCATTGACCTCTGGGTAGGAAGGCCCAGTAGTCTGGGGCGCCCTTTGGGCGCACTTTTTCTTATTCTGAAATCCTTCCTTCTCTTAATGTGACTTTCCTGAGCCCACCGGAGTTCCCTTGTGGGCTCCCGTATTCGCCTGGGGGGTGGGCATAGACTTACCGTCCTTCGCTTCGGCAAGTTCGGCGGTAGGAAAGTGTCCTCCTCATAACTCGATCCCTCTGTGGTACTGGAGAACGCAACCAGGCTTCCACTGGGGGGGTAGAGGACGAGTAACTGCTACTCTCTTAGCTATTGCTGTTAGGTTGATTACCAATAGTTAAGGGGTTTATTGGTCACTTCAGGTCAACGGGCAAGGGCCCAGGGGTCGGACCTGGTCCGATGCCCGGTATGACTGACTCCCTGCCTCGACTTCGAACAACTGAACCCCAACAAATGAGCGACGAGAACGACTTGCTATCCCTCCAGAGAATGCAAGGTATTTGGCTGTCAGATGCGTGAATGAAAATCAGTCGCTTCTGAACGTTAACCCCTTCATTATCAAAAAGGTCCTTGATAGTCAAGTGGACGGCGACTTTGATTTTGTTAAAAAATTGCGAGATGCATCCTTGTTAAAGTGCAATTCAAATCCCAGGTTAACGACTTGCTTAAACTGATGCCGATTCATGATTTCAAGGTAAAAGTAACTATTCCTGTGGGTCATACTAAATACTGCCTTGTACCGTCAGGTACCGTCTAGTACCGTCCGGCACCGTCTGGTACCGCCCGGTATTGCTTAGTACCGCTCAGCACTGCTCGGTGCTAATAAAACGGGTCATACTAAATACTTCCCGGTACCGCCTGGTACCGTCTAGTACCGTCCGGCACCGTCTCGTACCGCCCGGTACTGCTTAGTACCGCTCAGCACTGCCCGGTGCTAATAAAACTGCTGCCCAATAGCTATAAACGCATTATTTGTCTTTTTTTTCTCAGGCACAGCCTGGTACACCCTAGCACTGTCCGGTACCATCCGGCACTGCCCGGTACCGTTTGGCACTGCCTTGTACCGGCCAGTATCGTCCGGTACTGCCCGGGACCACCTGGCACTGCCCGGTACCGTCCGGCACTGCCCGGTACCGTCCGGCACTGCCGGTACCGTCCGGCACTGCCCGGTACCCTTTGGCACTGTCCGGTACCCTCTGGCATTGCCCGGTACCCTCTGACAGTGCCCGGTACCCTCTGGCAGTGTCCGGTACCGTCCGGTACGGCCCGGTTCCGTCCGGTACGGCTCGGTTCCGCCGGTACGGCCCGATTCCGTCCGGTACTGCCCGGTATCTTTTGGCACTGCCCGGTACCTCCTGGAACTGCCATTACTGGACGGTACCGGGCAGTGACAGGCGGTACCAGGCAGTGACGGACGGTACCGGGAAGTACCAGACGGTACCGGGCAGTACCAGACTATATCATGCAGTGCCAGACGGTACCGGGAAGTGCATGGAGGAACCGGGCAGTACCAGGATGTGTTAGGCGGTACCGGGCAGTGTCAGGTGGTACCAGGAAGTGCTAGGAGGTACCGGGTCGTATCGGACGATACCGGGCAGTACCGGGATGTGCCAGGCGGTACCGGGCAGTGCCAGGCGGTACCGGGCACTTCCAAGCGGTAGTGCCCGATACCGCCCGGAGTGCCCGATACCGTCCGGCATTGCCCGGTATAGTCCGGCACTGCCTGGTAACGCCTGGAAAAGCCCGGTACCGCCAGGCACTACTTGGTACACCCTAGCACTGCCCGGCACTGTCCGGTACCGTCCGGTACTGCCCGGGACCACCTGGCACTGCCCGGTACCGTCCGGAACTACCCGGGAACGTCAGGCGCTGCCCGGTACCGTCCAGTACTGCACGGTACCGTCCGGTACCGCCTGGCATTGACCGGTACCGTCCAGTAATATCTGGTAACGGGCAGTGCCAGGAGGTACCGGGCAGTACCGGACGGCACTGCCCGGTACCGCCTGACGCTGCCCGGTACCGTCCAGTACGGCCCGGTATCGTCTGGTACGGCACGGTACCTCCTGGAATTGCCGGTTACACTCTGTTACTGCCCGGTACCTCCTTGCACTTCCCGGTACCGTCCGGCACTGCTCGATACCGCCTGGCACTACCCGGTACCGCCCAGGCGGTACCGGGCAGTGCCAAGAGGTACCCGACGAAACCGGGCCGTACCGGTCAGTGCCGGACGGTAACGGTCAGTGACAGGCGGTACCGGGCAGTGCCAGGAGGTACCGGACGAAACCGGGTCGTACCGTACGGTCCCGGGCAGTTCCGGACGGTACCGGGCAGTGCCAAGTGGTCTCGGGCAGTGCCGGGCAGTGCCGGACTATACCGGGCAATGCCGGACTATACCGGGCAATGCCGGACGGTATCGGACACTACCGCCTGGCACTGCCTAGCACCGTCCTGGACTGCCCGGTACCGCCTGGCACATCCCGGTACCACCTGGCACTGCCCGGTACCGCCTGACACATCCCGGTTCCTCCATGCACTGCCCGGTACCGTCTGGTCCTTCCCGGTACGTCCTAGCATTTCCCGGTACCGTCCGCCACTGCCCGGTACCGTCCAGTAATGGCAGTTCCAGGAGGTACCGGGCAGTGCCAAAAGATACCGGGCAGTGCTGGACGGTACCGGGCAGTGCCAGAGGGTACCGGGCAGTGCCAAAGGGTACCGGGCAGTGCCGGACGGTACTGGGCAGTGCTGGGCGGTACCGGGCAGTGCCGGATGGTACCGGGCAGTGCCGGATGGTACCGGGCAGTGCTAGGGTGTACCAAGCTGTGCCTGAGAAAAAAAATAAAGACAAATAATGCGTTTATAGCTATTGGGCAGCAGTTTTATTAGCACCGGGCAGTGCTGAGCGGTACTAAGCAGTACCGGGCGGTACGAGACGGTGCCGGACGGTACTTGACGGTACCGGGCAGTATTTAGTATGACCTGTTTTATTAGCACTGGGCAGTGCTAAGCGGTACTAAGCAGTGCCGGGCGGTACCAGACGGTGCCGGACGGTACTAGACGGTATCTGACGGTACTAGATGATACCGGCGGTACCGGGCAGTATTTAGTATGACCCACAGGAATAGTTACTTTTACCTTGAAATCATGAATCGGCATCAGTTTAAGCAAGTCGTTAACCTGGGATTTGAATTGCACTTTAACAAGGAGGCTACCATCTCGCATTTTTTAAACAAAATCAAAGTCGCCGTCCCCTTGACTATCAAGGACCTTTTTGATGGTCAGAAGTGACTGATTTTCATTTATAGGAAAATGTAGCATGACAGTTCCTTGACGGCGGAAAAAAGGCCTATGGTCGATCATTTTGGTCTACAATTTTCAAAAAGAATGCAAAATAATGATTTTAATGGTCATATTTTCACTGAACAATCATCAAAATAGCCTTGTGTATGAGAAGTGTGGGCGATTATGTTTATGCATGAATGATTCTCAAGTGGAATTGTTCGCAGTAGGAGTCAAGCCAAAGGCCTGTTCTTTACTCAGCTTGAAGGAATGAAGTAGGCCTACTTTTATCAATACCTCCATGCACTCAATGAAGGAATGAAAAGTATTTTATTTAATGTGCAGGATAACAGGCCGGGCTATTTTTAGAATAGCACATGTTCATGTTTACATTTTGTACCATATCCAATAGTGTTTAAGTTTCAATGGCTTGTTGGCCTGGTATCCTACACATTAAATAAGCTACCTTTCGTTCATTCATTGAGTGCATGGAGGTATTAATAATATTAGGTGTATTTAATTCCTTCAAGCCGAGTAAAAAATACAGGCCTTTGGCTTGACTCCCACTGCGAGCAATTCCACTTGAGAATCATTCATACATAGACATAATCGGCCACTCTTCTCATCAACAGGGCTATTTTGATGATTGTTCAATGAAAATATAACCATTAAAATAATTTTCCATCCTTTTTGAAAATTGAAAAGACCAAAATGATCGACCATATTCACAAAGTATCGTGACGTCAAACTGACATTAAAATAAACACGCCATGACACCTCCTCGACTTGATACTGATTTAGCCTTTCCCACACTCTATCGGCGAAGGCTAGATTTGAAAGTTTTTTTGTTTTTTTTTTCTAGCAGGAATAGTCGACGTAATTGATGAATAAACGCAATATGAATGTACTATTTTTAATATCATAGATCATACACTTATCACGAGTTTATTTGATATATCATACCATGTAAAGTGAATTTCAGTTCGATTGATAAATCTATGTATTACATCATATAAAATTATATTATATATCATGTGATAGTCATGTAAGGCAGGGTCTTCCCTATACTTTGTGGTTAGACCCAGTGCCTGAATTCTTTTCCATCCTAACTGACCAAGATGGAAATAATGGCCACTAACATGAACATGAGGTAAATGTGCAGTGAAGGCATTTATTGTTGCTTTCTCAAAAGCTGTCATGACTGAAGCAGGGTTGGGTAAAGTGCTATCGGGAATGAGGTTAGCACTTCATCAAACAGTTTATTCTACAGCCCCTGGCTCTTACCAGGTAGTAGAGCATAAACACATGAGTAGAACCACACTGAAGGTCCTGTCGCGGGACCAATGTTGTGCATGCGCCAGGAACGAAAGGTCTTGATCGGCTGCGAGGATGACTATTCCGTCTGCTTCATATCGAAGAAAGGATTCCCCGGATATCGTCGTCCGAAACGGTGATAACTCCCTGACACCTCTTCAGCATATCCATCGTCGGCAGGTCTGCCCAGCCGATTTCCGTTCGGGTACAGAAGGAATCTACGATGTGTCCGACCGATTCTGCTATGCTTGTTGCTCGCACCTTCATCACGGACAGCAGACAGGCAGCCTCTGCTTTAGGGGGGCAGGCAAATGGGTATGGATGGGGCTCTGCCATTTATCAATTCTCCCAGTAAATAGCTTGTGAGGTACCGTAGGCGACCCGTGTGTGTAGCTGTTTATTTGCAAAGGACAGGCACTCAGGTCGTCCCCGTGTTATCTAAACTATGTTGACTCTGGCGGCGCAGTCCTTGTCTACATTTCCAGTAAACCTTTTTCATTACTTTTTTATCTTTGACGAAAATATGCTGCCCTGCAATAGGTTCCAGCTTTCCTATATAAGCTGGTATGATTTGGTGCTCTTCATAGTGGGCTACAGGTGACGGCGGAGGAAAATCATGAGGCAAGGTCTCATATGATCGGATATCAAGTACAGGGTAAGGAGACAGAGGAAGCTCTGCTGTGAATTGCTCTATTGCATTGATTCAGTTCAGTTCAGTTAGATTTGCCCGGGCCTTTTCTCTAGAGTGGCTATTTCTAGTTGACTCATGTGTTTTCTTTTAACTGTATGCTTAGTGCCGAGGCTAGATTGCATGCAAGCGATCCAGCTGCCATGGCTTAAGCAGCTCGCCGCAATGCTTACATTCCATGACAACCACGTCATCAAGAATTTGCCAAGCCCATGGGTAACCTAGTCATTCCCTTGGATGCCTATGTGGCTTGGGACCCAGTTAATGATTATTCTTCTACCCTGATTAAGGATCTGGGCCATGGTGAGGACCGTGATCAGGAGGTAGATGTTGTTTTGGGGCATGCTATGCTGTAGACTGTCAATGGTCGACCTAGAGTCTGTGTATGATCAACTGTTTCAGTTATTTTAAAAATGACCCTTTTTTGTAGCCTTAAGGCTAGGCATAGAGTATTGATCTTGACAAGCTCAGGAATGAGAACTCAATCAAGGTGTTTGCCCACAGTAGGTGTTCTCTGTAGTCAGGGTGGTGGTGGTGGAGTCCATACCCTTGGCAAGCAGTTGTTGTTTGAGCTGGAAGCATATCAACACTCTGACTGTGTGTGAGCTAAGAGCTGATAGTCTTGCTGTAGGAGTCTGAGTACTCTGTGTCTCATATATGAATTCCGGGTTGCCTGTATGACCTTGTAAAGAAACTGGGCTTCCAGGGAATCAGAGGATTTTGTTTTGTTTTGGACTGTCTGCAGTTTTTCTTTTAATGTGCTGGAAGCAATGAGGGCGACAGAGGCATAGTCAACAATAGGCCGGACAGCACGTACATAGAATGATCTTAGTACTCTGTGTCCCGCTCCTATGTGTCTCCTAGTAAATACTTTCATGACAATCTTTTCTTGGTTCTCTAACAGGTGAATGTTGAGTATGTTAGACACGAGGATATTGAAAAGAGCAGGACTGAGGACCCCACCTTGAGATAATTGTCCTTGAAACTGAAATTTCCTATTCTATTGTTGAAATAGTCAGCTATCCAGACCAAGAGTCTACCTCTGATTCCCATGTGGATTAGGTTTCCAAGAGGACTTGCTAATTCAAAAACCTTCTCCAGGTCTAGGAATACAACCACGGAGGATGTAGTCAATATTGTACTTTGGAGAATGGCAATGCTATGGGCTGTGCTCATACCCCTGGTGAACCCATGCAGGTGTTTATGAGGGGGGTCCCATTTTCCATCGGAGCCGAGTTATTACCATCTCGGCTGTTTTACCCAGACAGCTGAGGAGAGAAATGGGCCGGTACCTGCCTGGCTTCTTTGGTTTCTTATGGCTTCTTTCCAGCCCTGGGGTAGCATGGCAGTTTGCCAAGACTTGTTGATGAGATGCAGAAATGCAAGCTCTCCTGCAAGCCCTAAGCATGAGATGATGGGGTGGGAGATCCCATTGGAGCCCAGTGATGATCCAGAGCTGTTTTTATGTTTTTCTTAGTTGCCTGAGGGATAACATGGCATCTGAGTCATCAGGTTTGAGTGCCTTGTCTGTGATGAGAGTGAGCCTGCCTGGATTTAGTTTTTTTTTTTTTTTTTTGCCTCAACTCAGGAAGCAGGCTGTTACTGCTTGTTCTGGTTGAAAACTCGAGCACCAGCCTGTGTGCCTCTGATTGTGGGTCATGATGCGTGCTTCTCGGGGATTGGCGGCTGGTAACTCGCCTGACCCGTTTCCACAACTCTGAGAGGCTGGTCTGGTGGCCAAAGGATTGGCACCATTCCAGCTACTATTCCTGCCTGACTCTGTTGGCAGTTTCCTTGGCATCCCTAACAGTTTTCCTCAAGAGGGCCAAGTTGAGGGCAGTTCTATGTCGTCGGAAATTTTTTTCTGCACATGTGGTTGACCTTGATCTCGTCATTATGGTACCAGGCATCTTTGTGAGTTCTGGACCATGGGCGAGTTTTAGGGGCTGGTCTGAGAGGCTGCCTGATTTATGGCCTGGATTAGTCTTGCCTCGAGCACATCCACATCTCAGCCAGTGGGCCAAGTCCTCGGTGGTTTGCATGTTAGCCAAGTATGTTTTCTATTTGGGGATGTGAAGTGGTCTTTGGGTTGGACCAGCATCCGAGGGTAGTAGCTGTGCCATAGTGATCACTTGTAACCGTTTCATCGACACACCACCGAATTATTTCCGCCATTGTTGCAGTGGCAAAGGTAAGGTCCAAGACTCCTCCCTTCGCATGCATTGGTTCTTGGGTATTGCAATCTCAGGGAATGTGTCATGCATGTCTGCGATGTGAATGCCTGTCGCATTTGGCCTCCTGTGGGGATTCAGCATGGACTGAAGCCTCCCCATAAG